ACACAATAAGAATATTAAAATAACGACCAACACGTCTACAATTAGAAAAAACAATACCACTCTAGCTATCAAAAAGAGACTTTGCAGTCTAAACTGACAAATAAAATAAATGATTTGACATGTTTAAATGGCATAGGCAACTTAGATTCATTGGAACGTTAAATTAAACCACACCAAATGGTGCACAGAACGACTATTTGACGTATTTTGTAAAAAGGCAAAAACTTAGCTATTAACATCCTAGTACCATTCGACAGGTAATTAAAAATTGCATTTCCTGGTAAGCTAAAAAATATGGGGTTGTATTTTATAATAAATATATTTGTTAAAACTAGATCAAATTCCGAAGAAAGGCCGGTACTGCTGAAACCATCGGACAAAGATAGCGGAATACGCCGGGTGTCCAGTTCTGGCGACTTTCCTAAATCGATGTCTGACGAAAAGAACGTGAATAGATCGCCGTTGAAAAGGAACGAAAGCGATCCTGTGAAATATGACGAAGCCGAATATGACAAGACACGCTCGCACGAACGTTTTTCCAGAGCGCATAACTTTCGAAGCAAGAAGCATCCACAAAAAAGGCATAAAGTACGAGGTCCTACAAGGGTTAAGTTGAAATACGAAGTATTGGAGGCTTCTAAAAAAAATTTATCAAGTAAAGCTGCCGATGCTCCGGATGGTTGAATGCACACATTTACTCTATCGGTTTGTAGATGAAGGCGTGACCGAAGTCACCACGCTTAAGTTCCTGGATTTGTGCGAACAGCCGACACAACGATCTCCGAGTCCGACGCACACCTCTGTGTCTCCCGCTCTAGATTTTGCGACGCTCCACGAACAAGTCGAGTGCACCGAACCTCTGGTTTCCCACCCGCAGAACCAGGTGAATGAAGACATGGAAACGATGCCCAGCCAGTTGATCGCCTTCAATAAGATGCTTTCGTCGCCCAGAAATTCCATCATTGCAACTCATCGGATCTATTTGGACCCAGACGTGCCGCAAATTGCACCCATCGCCAAGCTTTCTAGAAACCCGGTGGACGAAAGAATTCAGAAATTGAACAAGCAAATCAATAGTTGTAAGAGGAAAATAATGATGAGCGAAGCTGATTTCGAATCGAAAACGGGATCCAAACCAACCCAATTTGACAAAATGAAAGATGGCACTATAAGGAACCTGTACGTGGAACTTAGTAAGCTGAAGAGAGAACAGAAACAATTGTCGGAAACTTCGGTTGGGTGTTCCAGAATGCACTTAAACCACACGGGAGAGTCCTCAGTAGCTCTGCAAGAAACCGTTGATGAAATCCGGCAGGTAAAAGCTCAATTTTCAGTTTTACTGAATGAAACTTTTACTAAATGGTCTCTTATTGCAGAAATTAAGGATTCAAGTTGGTAATAAGAACGTAGATCTAGATACGATGACTCCGGAGGAACTGATAGAAGAAAAAATTGAAACTCAAAAGGCCCTATTATTTTTAGAGTCACTTCATGGACGTCCGCAAACCAAACAAGACAGAGACCTTGTGCGTCCATTTTATGATCGCTACCGAATTTTGAAGCAGATGGTGCACAAAGTGTCCAGTGTAAGTACTGTATGTAATAATAAGCATGTTATTTTTTTGGAGCAAGGAACGAACGTATTCGATCCGATTTTTATAAAATTTTAAACAAAACAATATTTTAGATGAGTACCAGCGGAGAGCTCGCAACAATCGATGAAAACGAAGCAATGCTTTTTGTGCCATCCACCTCGTCCTCCAACGAAACCGAATCGGAGCCTACGGAAACGCTCTCCTCCAAATGCACTCTTGAAGATTCTAACGACACCCTTCTGCCGGAGAATTGGCACTGCTTAACCAAGCCAGATCTATTGAAACAAATGAGCCTGATTGTAGAGGAGAAAAAAAAGCTCAGATGCAGAATAAAAGAATTTGAGAAACCCATGCATATTAACTTATGTAGAACTCTAACCAAAGAAGACAAAAAACCTATGGAAGCAGTATACGTTGCCTACAAAAAAGTGAAGAGTCGTTTGCGATTGATGGAGGCTTTGGTTGGCAAACTGTAAACGTGTATTTGACCGACTTTAAATAAAATCCGCTTTTATTACATTTTGATTTGTGTTTTTTTATACAGGGTTATTCACGCTATACGGCACGGACGTTTGCGGCTAGCCCGCTTGTTTTTTGCAAATTATTATCTGATGAATCCACAGACGCCTATCGGGTGCACATTTAAAAAATATTTTTGTAATGTACAGAGTGTCCCAAAAAGCATAAAAGTATCAAAGTTGTGTTTTTCTAAATGAAATACCCTATATATTATTGCATTTTTGGATTCTCTGAGCAAAATAAGTGTTTGTTTTAATAA